GTAAAGGGAATCAGTGATGTTTCCAATCCAAGGAAAACAAGAGTGATGTATTTTCCTGGTGACACTGTATCTGATTTAACCAACAAACTGCTCTCTCTAACCACTGATCAGCCAGATATTCAGACTTTAGTTGTGCATGTTGGAGCCAACGATCTGGCAAAGCAAAAGTCTGAGATTCTGAAAAAGGACTTTAATATTCTTCTGGACACTATGGGAAAACTGAGAATGATGTTATTTCTCAGTGGTCCAATTCCATCACCTCAATGGGGAGACGAAAAACACTCCAGGCTGCTCACGATCAACAAATGGCTGATTATAACCTGCTCTACCAGCTCAGTGACCTTCATCGATAACCTCTGGATCTATTGGCAATGCTTTCACCTTTTTGGAAGAGGAGGACGCAATCTTAATAAACATGGGATAAAGCTACTCACTGCAAACCTTTTTATTTTATCAACAAGGACAGCAACAGGATCATCGCGTCAGAAGAACAGGCTCAAGGATGTCTGCCTAGGATGGAACGCTCCCCGGATCAGGAGCACAATATTCCAAAACAAGCTGATAAATCGACTGGAGACGGAGCGACTGCTTCCCTCGCTCCTTCCCCCCTCCCTCTCTGCTCCTCCAATCATTCACAGGATTCAATGGATACCAATGAAGAAATGTCTTCCGGACCAGAGTTTCTTAAATTTACAGATGGAATGAATCAACAGGTTCGCCTCGGCACGTCTCTCCTTAGCACTCACGTAGCAGACCTCACTACATTTAAGCAACCTGCCCCTGACTTTCCAGAGGATCCATCACTCTGCGTTTCTGAGGTCTGAGGCCGGGGACCAGATATTATCTTTACACCCGTCTCCATCCAGAATGTGTCTGGCCCCCGGGTTCTGCAGAACAGGACATTACCTGTCCGGATCACTACAAGAAAATTTACAAAAACCAGAAATATGAAATACAGCAGTCCTAATTCAAACCTCAGAGTGATCCCCTGCCTAAAGGAACCTCAGACTGAAAATCTTTTGGCCTCCAAGCCACTTAAAGTAGCTCTTTTAAATACCAGATCACTCTGTGCTAAAGCTCTATTAATTAATGATTTCATCACCGAGTATAATGTTGATGTTATGTTTCTGACAGAAACATGGTTGAATGACGATAATGACCAAATTGTACTCATTGAATCAGCGCCTCCTGACTACAATTTTTTAAGTGAGAATAGAAAACATAAAAAAGGAGGAGGCGTGGCTTCTATATTTAAAAAAACCATAAACTGTAGTAAAATTTCTTTCGGTCATTTCACTTCTTTTCAGTATCTTGGAATTCAGGTTAAAGGCTTCAAACGAACTTTGACACTAACTTTATACAAAACTCCAGCATATGTGGAAAATTTCTTTACTGACTTGAATGATCTTTTATCTCTCATATGCATTGATTATGATTGTTTAATAATTGTTGGCGATTTCAACATTCATGTGGACAAACCCTAAGACAGAGGAGCAAAAAAGCTCTCTGATATTTTAGAAAATTTTGGTTTAACACAACATGTCAAACAAGCAACACACTCAAGGACACACACTGGACCTGGTTATCAGTAAGGGTGTGGATATTTCCAATGTCTGTAACTGATGTCGCCTGTCGGATCACTTTGCTGTTATCTTTGAAGGTTCTTTATTCTTTGACCCACTTGGACAAACAGCTACTGTCACAAAACGTTCTTTCACAGAAAACACAGCAGAAACATTTAATCAAATCTACTCTTCCTCCTCACCCTTAAGCTGTAATGATGTAGATCAGTTGTTAGATGATTTTCAGTCTAAAGTTTCATATCATTGATTCTATTGCTCCAATTAAAGTAAAGGTTTTGACTGGTAGAAAGAAATCTCCATGGAGAAAAGCACAAATAGTTTCGGTCTGCAAGACAACTCTGCCGCAGGGCAGAACGACAATGGCGTAAAACTCAACTTCACGTTCATCACGACATCTACAAAGAAAAACTACGTAACTATCACTTAACACTAAAACATGGAAGGGAGGCTTTCTTTGCAGATGTCATAAACAAAAACATCAACAATGCTCGAACTTTATTTGCAACAGTTGACAGGCTCACAAACCCTCCTGTGACGTTTCCACCTGAACTCCAATCTAATGTTGCCTGTAACAAGTTTTCTGATGTCTTTCAGAGAAAATCCAAAAAATCAGAGGATTAATCTGCACATCAACTTCAAAGCCAGAACCATTGCTGTACCAAAACAAAACAAATACAGAAAAAATGACCCATTTTCAACTACTTAATTATAAAACTCTAGAAGAAATTATAAGTCAATTAAGTTCAAGCTCCTGCTGTCTGGATGTTATAGATCTATAACTCTAGAACATTTCTTTAAGAAAGTCCTGCCTGTTATGCTACTGATCTGATCCAAATCGTAAACTCATCGCTTACATCAGGTGTTTTCCCCCAGGCTTTGAAAACAGCAGTCATCAAACCACTGTAAAAAAGAACAAACCTGGACAAATCACTATTGCAGAATTACAGGCCATCTCAAACCTCCCATTCATCAGCAAAGTTATTGAAAAAACTGTGTGTAAACAATTAAATAGTTTCCTCATGATGACCAACTGCTTTGACACTTTCCAGTCTGGTTTTCGTGCTCACACGGAGACTGCCCTCGTAAAAGTATTCAGTGATATCCATATAAATACTGACTGTGGGAGAACCACGGTGCTGGTTCTGTTGGACCTCAGTGCAGCTTTTGACACTGTCGACCATGACATATTACTGAATCGACTTGAAAGTTGGGTTGGACTCTCTGGTTCGGTGCTCGACTGGTTTGAATCCTACATAAAGAACAGGAATTTCTTTGTTTCAATTGGAAACAACTTATCAAGAGGTCAAAGGTCACATGTGGGGTACCCCAAGATTCAATCTTAGGACCCCTCTTATTTAATATTTATATTCTCCCACTAGCTCAGGTCATAACAGGAAATAATATTAGCTACAATAACTATGCAGATGATACTCAGCTCTACATTACGATGTCACCAGGTGACTCTGAACCCATCCAATCACTGAATAAATGTTTTAGAACAGATAAATGTGTGGATGTGCCAAAACTTTCTCCAACTGAACAAAAATAAAACTGAAGTCATTATTTTTGGACCTAAAGAGGAACGATCTAGAGTCAATGCACAGCTTCAGTTATTACAACTAAAAACTAGCGATCAGGCCCGAAACCTGGGAGTAGTGATGGACTCGGACTTGAACCTCGAGAGCCACATAAAGACAGTAACAAAATCAGCCTTCTATCACCTGAAGAACATCTCCAGGTTTAGAGGACTAATGTCTCAGCCAGATCTAGAGAAACTCATCATGCGTTTATCTTTAGTCGCATTGATTATTGCAACAGCATCTTCACAGGCCTGTCCAACAAATCAATCAAACAGCTGCAGCTGATCCAGAATGCTGCTGCTCGCGTTCTCACTAGAACCAGGAAGATAGAGACATAACACCAGTTTTAAAGTCCCTCCACTGGCTCCCTGTAGCTCAGAGAATAGATTTTAAAATACTGTTGTTAGTTTACAAATCAATGAACGGTTTAGCACCACAATACATCAAAGATCTGCTGTTGTTGTATCAACCTTCCAGACCTCTCAGGTCTTCTGGTTCTGGTCTGCTCTGCATCCCCAGAACCAGAACCAAAAGAGGAGAAACAGCTTTCAGCATCTATGGACCAAATATTTGGAACAAACTTCCAGAAAACTGTAAAACAGCGGAAACCCTGACTTCCTTCAAATCTCAAGTAAAAACGCACCTGTTTAGAATTGTATTTGAAATGTAATATGTATGGATTTGATTTTGTGGATATGTATGTAATCTTTTTTTTCCTGTTTTGGGCAACGGGGCCCGACGAATACCCGTGGTTAAACGGACGGCGGAGTCCGGCGGTAACAGGCGCTTAAATTCCGTGACAAAGGGAAGGAAAAAAAAAAACCTTGGTATTTTATTCTATGTTGCATGCCTTTGTGTTTTGTGTTTATGATGTAAAGCACTTTGAAATGCCTTGTAGCTGAAATGTGCTATACAAATAAAATTTGATTGATTGATTGATACAGCAAAATAAGGAAACCAGCTTTTCTTTTCTCTGGGCTCATTTCATCATGGAGATTTTATCAACCTGCCTCTGATTTTACAGCAAACCTTCTGCTGCTCAGAAAGAAGACACTACAAACCAGGTGTGCCGTCAAATAATCACTTATGCAACATTTTTCACACATTGAGTTTGAACTTTGAGTTGTTCAGGTAAGGTAAGTCCAGATCTGTTGTCTCTGTACAGGTGTGGCATTAGTCTGAGTCTACCGTGGCTCTATTAGGTCTCAGTTTGGTGTTCAGACATTCTTCAACTTTTTGAACCGTATAAAGAAACTGTAAGTTTGCTTGGTTTCCTACTTAAACTTTGTCTACTGGAACCTTTTTATATGTTTCTGATGTTTGGAGAAGAAGCATCACTTCTGACTTCCACTCAGTTTGATCTCTCTTCTGTTTGAAGGTTAATTTACACTATTTGATTACTAATGAACAAGAATCAAACAACATGATGAGCAGCTGGTGTTTCTATGTTTTCTTTTCTGCTTCATGTTTTTACCTCCATGAGTAAAACTGTTAGTCAGGAACAAAAGTTTCTTGTTGCATCCTTTCAAAATAAATGAATATTATGTATTATTTTTACTAAATATTATTGTTGAAATGTGTTCAAGTGATTATAATACTTTTATGCAGAAAATAATCCACTTGTAGAGTTTAATAATTAACTAATTAAATACTTCCTGTTGTTCAGGTTGAATGAGTGAATGTAAATGTTGCGCCATGTCTCCATTTAGTGGACTGATAGTAGAAGTGCAGCAGCTGATGGCAGCTTCCTCTGCCTCTCTGCTGTCTGACTGCATTCACCTGACACTGATATGAAGCAGAGAAGAAGAGCCAATCAGAGGAGGAGCAGCTGATCTTTTTCCAGCACTAATGATGTAAAGGATGATCAGAGTTGATGTGCAGATGAATGATGTGTGTTTCCTCTGCAGGTGAAGCTAGAAAGTGTGTGTGAGCTGATGTGGATTCAGCAGCATGGATCAGTGTGAGGACAGAGAGGAGGGAGTCCCTCCCTCTAAAACCACTCTGTGTGGGGAAGATGAGAGCCAGAGCAAAGGTCAGAGGTGAGGTCACCATCTCTAACTGTCCACAGCCCTTTTCACACAGCGTTCACTATATCAGGCCAGAACAGACGTGGTGATGAAGCTGCTGCTGCTCCTCTTTGCTGATTAAGTTTTAATCATCATGTTTCTGTCAGGTTGCATCAGAGACTCAAACCAGAACCAGAACCAGAACCCAGCTGTGTGTCCTTTAAGAGCGACAAGTCAAAGGATATTCTCACTGACTTTAAATCTCCTGGATCTCCACCATCAGAGAGGTGAGCTGTTTCTAACTGCTGTAACTTCTGTTTATATCTGTTATTGTGGCCATGTGATGATAAGTTCTGTTGGGAAGGGAATGCTAGGTTTGAAGAAGTTCTTATTGTCATACCACATTTGCTTGTTTGTGGTAAGAAATTTGATCTCAGGACCCATATTAAGAAATTTAATACACAAATAAAAAATAAATAACTATTAAAGTAGTTAAATATATATATAACTTAAAAAGTCATATTTCACTAATTTATGAGATGTAGCTGAATTAGTTTACAGTTGCAGAGTTCATGCAGTCTGAAGGGAAGACACTGAGTAGGAACAGTGACATCCTGGTAAAAACTTGGCAGAGAATCCATCAGTTTTGATTAACGTCTCCCACAGCCACATAAAATGCCTCTGCTTGCTATTGATATGCTAATGGTGTCATGCAGCTTCTTTGATACCATTGGAGATTTTCAACTCTCCAGTTAAGGTTCGCTGATGCTGGAGATTCCAGAAGAGTCAGTGAGTTAAACTCAACCAAGGTTGAGACGTATTTCCTGCCGATACTCTACAATCGGAATGGAAAGCTACTTACAGGCATGGGAAGAGGTTCTCTGCCCTGATCCTCTGTACTGGGCCGTCTGTTCAACTCCCGGTATTCTGCGCCGGATGAGCGGGTTCCATCTGCCCCTTGCTCCGCAGTGTGCAAGTTTCCGCAGGCTCCAGGCTGCACTCTGCACTCTTCCCATCCAGGTTCCTTTTATTTTGGCTCTAATCAGCATCTGCTGACACCTGTTCAGGTGGCCAATTGGTGCGCTCTGCCTTCCTAGACAACCACTTTCAGTCCAGTGCATTTGGATTGTTAAAGGGGAAAAAAGGAAAAAGAAAAGCAACAACCCAAAAACAATCTGTACATGCAAAGCAGAAAAACAATAAACCATAGGAAAAAAACAATCATATTTTCTCCTGCACAACATAGGGGCAACAAAAATCACTTTTCCAGTTTCATCTCTACTTTTAAACATCATCTAATTTGGCAGATTATCAGTCATTTCTACAGTTAAACTAAATAATATCTCATGTAGATCTCATTCTTCGGTGAGCTTTGTGTCTGACCATCTGGTTCTGATTGAAGCTCCATCAGATCTCCTTGGATGGTCAGAGTGGAAATGATTCCTGGTTCTGCTCCATGTCAGACTCAACACTAAGATCACCAAACTGTTCTCTCAGTCATTTAAACCAACATGTTGGTCTCAGAAAAAAATATTTCTGCTCTTTAAAGAAGGCTGGACATTATTCAGGAGGATCAATGATCAGGAACATGTTGGAGGATTGGACCGGTTCTGATCATTTAGATCATCAAGTTGATGATTTGTCTGGTTCTGTTAGCCAGACAGATCATCAACTGATGAGCCACATTGGAAAAACAATCTTTAAAGCATAACCACACAGAAAGTTTTTAATGAGAGTTTTTCTATCAGGATCCATCAAAGAGTCAAGCCAGAACCAGAACCCTTTAAGAGAAACAGTCCAATGCGTCGTTGGGTTAAATCTTGTGGACCTCCATCATTGGAGAGGTGAGCTGCATCTGACTTCTGTATCTTTGGAACTGAAACAGTAAGCACTCAGATATGCCCAGTTATATTCACAAAGTGAGGTTTATCCATTATCTACCAAAATCAGATCCTCTGTTCTAATGAAAACACCTACATATCTTCATTTCTGGGTGTTGATGATGTTTTGCTGCTTCCTGGCTCCATGTCAGACTAAAGCCCCTTTTTTAGGGTTAGGCCCAGCCATGCTTCGGTCCTGTCCCACCTGTACTGCAGCCCTGTTGTGTTTGCATATATTTGAGCATGGTATCGAAGCTGTACCTGACGACAGTTTTTAAACTAAACAATGGGGTCCACAATTGTTTATTACCCCCAGTTGGTGGGGGTAATGCTTTCTTTAGTTATTTTCCAACTGGCAATGTACTGAAGAAGAAGAAAACGGCTACTTACTACTATGAAGATGCTATCAGTTTAGAAAAACTGAAATTTATTACATACGTGGTTTTCTCATATTAGCAGTTATAAATTCAATTAATTTTGCCAACGATAAAGCAACAACTGCGTTTTTGGCCACTTCTTGATTCCTTGCATCCAGTTCTTCCAGGCAGAAGGCGTTCTCCAACCTGCAAGCTTAACGTATGTCCTCTGCAGTATGTTTACATGGCGGTCGTGCTTTGCCCAATTTTCCTTTTTCTCTTCTCTTATGGCCAGAAGTAAATCCGTGTTGGCTGAGCATTTGTGATGAGGATCTGAAATAAATGAGAAGAGTAAAACTGTTATATTACACAAAAACATCTTTATGAAATAAATAAATCAATAAATCGATACCAAGAAAGAACGAGTGTCGTACCCATTGCACCATGTTCACACTGGTCTGTCGAGCTGGAAGAAGTGGAAGCCGTGAACACTGAGGGAGATCTTGGTGAAGATCTCGGAGGGGATGATGATGGTGACATTGATGAACCTGGAATGTCAGCGGGTCCTGGGAATCCAAATCCTAATGTAAACTTTCTAAAAAGAACAGGAAAAAAAAAACTTCAGCTTGATATTCACCATAGCCTATTCTGCTAGTTATGAAGCAACAGACAAGACTATACACACCACAGCCTTACAACCTGTTTTGCAAGCATAACATTACAAATAAGCTTTTATAGCTAATTGGCTCAAAGTGAAATGTACAATGGTGACTTACACTGTACATAAAACTTACCATCAATCATGTTCTCCAATAAGATGGTAGCCAAATCGAGGGAACTTTCCCTGCCGCTACTTGACAACTGACGTCCATAGACGGCTTCCATCTTATTGTACCACCGCCAGTCTTTCCAACCTGTTCCACTCCAACAGTTGTTGTCCTTAATTGCCCGGTAATCAAAATTCAGCTTATTCAACTCTCTCTACACTGTTTGGAACTTCTGATGTAGCTGGCCGAAGCCATTTCCTCATAGATGCGGTGGAAAACTTTCTTATTCCCGTTGACATCTAGCTCATTCCGTACTTTTTCATCACCATCTAAGCTGAGGAAAAAAATTACCTCACCATGAGACCAGGTAACAGCAGAATATTGGGAGGAATCCAATAATAATAAAGATACTAAAAAGAGCACTCTTTACATAATGCAGTAAGAAAAGTTTAGTGAGAGCCAGCTAGAACCAATGAACGGCTGACTCCAAACCAATCAGCTACTGAATCTAAAGCAGCCCCACTTGCCCGGCCCAATTAGAACCAAAGCTCTTGTGGTTCTAAGGAGCTGGTGGGACCAGGTTGGACGTTCTAATGCAAAAACGCTCGGACCTACTTTGAAGCCAGGCCGACATGGGTCAACCCTGGTTTAGCTGTGCAGTGCAATAGGGGCTTTACAGTGGAACATATTTTCATAACCCACTGGGAAATACCTGGTAAAGCCATTCTGGTCCATCAGGACTTGGATCCTGTGTGCATTGTGAGAGCAGTTCAGCAGGGAAGGAAAGCTTCATGATGTGGTTGGTGAGATCTGCTGGAACTCAACCAAACTGAGCTGATGTGGACCATCAGAGGTTCTGCTGGTTCTTAATGGGATCAGCAGGAACATTAAACCTGGTTCTCTGCTCACATCCAGATATCACTTCATGGTGATATTTGGAGTGATATAATGTCTGAACATTATATCTGTCCACACTTTTGATTGTCTATGTGGACAGATACAATGTGCGCTCACTGGATTCCAGGGATCTACAGGATCCATTTTAAAATCCTCACTATAACATCCAGGAGAGGATCCCACATGGACACACCCACATATTTCAGACCTCCTCCATGTCCACATCACCTCAGATCTAGTCATCAGAACCTGATGGATGTCCCACACTGTCCTGAAGACCTGTGTGGACAGAGCCTTCACTTCCACTGTCCCCAAGCTCTGGGAAACTGTCTCCATCAGCATCAGATCTGATGACAGTTTGGACTGTTTGAGTCCAAGTTCAGCACCAACTTTTTAAAATGTCTCCTGGGTAATTCTGGTGTTAACGGTCCTCATCCTTATTGTTCATCTTTCTCTTTCTAACTTCTTGTAATGAGTTCATACAATTATTTGCTTTTCTGCTTTAAGGACTTTTAATGTGAAATTCTTCATGATTTCCTCTGTGTAAACTGCTGGATGCATATTTTCTGACTTCCTAATTGTTCCTTGTTCCACCACAGAGTGGACCAGCAGTTCTCAGAGGTTCCCAGTGGTCCATATGACCAGCATGATCGAATACATCTGGACTCCATATTTACGGTGTGTAGATGTACAACAACTACTTTTCTGTTCACAGTCATCTTCATGCTGCACTTTGTGGATAAGAGGACTGTCAGTCTGTCCAATATCTATCTGGTGTTTGGCTCCATGTTTTCAGTGTGATGCAAAGGTAGCGCTAGACTTTCTTGCAGTTTGTCAGTTTGACTTACAGAATCAAAAGAAACCCTGTAACATTCTATTTTTACCCATCAAATTATAATTGATCTTGACATAGGTTACACAGACGCAATTTTTTTGTGGATTAGTTAATATTCAACTATTGAACTGTGAATCGAGATCTCATCACACATACAGCAGATGAATGCATCAAACTTTTCCTCTGCAGGGACAAGAATCACTTACTGTTGCCCCAATGACGTAGAGTAAAAAGAAATAAGCAACTGCATATAAATTACAAGCACTTCACCCAGTGAAGGTCTGAACACACAGTTCCTCACAACTGTGTTCCTGGTCTGCATCTACAGATAAGTCTGTGCTGGTAAGTTAGCCAGTGGGATCTCTCTGAACCAACCATGTTACCTTTCATTTGAGGCCTGAGACTCAATTAAACAAAGTATATTATACTTTTATTTGGTCTACCATTTGAGTAAGTAGTGCAACTTCTCTTTTATCTTTTTTTCATCCTCCTGCTGTCTTGAGAGCCAGGATTTTTTGAACCACACAAGCTCTTTTTAATCCTGTGCATAGT